TGAAACATGGATGCTCTGGGAAATGGTCTTCTACAGAATCATCTTCTCTTAACACAGGATAGAAGAACACAAGCCTGCCACCATTACAAGCATCTTAGCAGCAAGGTCAAGCAAATCATGCACACACTCAACTAAGCTATAGGATGCAGTTGATGGTATATGGTCTGCCCTTTTGTCATCAGGAACAGTGTATGGACCCACAACCCCCTTGAGCAATTTTCGTCCTCCAGACTTGCGTCCACCAGCCCGAACTCCATACGGGGATCGCAAATTATTGCATCAAACACCTATGTAAAACCAAGAAAGAATACTTAAAAATCGAAAAAGAGAGACATAGAATAGGTAATGGTAAAGAAGCCACAAAAGTCTCTTCTAAAACTCCAAATAATCCCTTTCTAGGCACTTGCTTGTGGCTTTGTCCCTCATTACTAACTACTAAATATTTTTTAAAGAATCTTTGAAATTGAGCCCTCCTTTCTAAGACTATACATCAGATCACATCAACGTCCCATTATGATGACATAGCAAATTAAGGAAAGGTACCAGCTATACGCAAGTTGCATGTGTGATGCGTGTGTATTTAAATTAAAACAACATCGAGAGGAAAGAAATAAGGAATCATAACAGCTGAGCAAGTCTAGAAGAAAAAATGTTAAATGGAAGTACACCTACAAATTTAAAACAATTAAGAACACACTTACATATTCAAAAGCAAGCAATTTTACAGGATATTACCTCCTTTAATCCAGGACGCCAAGGAGGAAGGTTGTTATCTGCCCTCAACAACGCAATTGGAATTGGCAATCCATACTACAAAGATGCTGTAGCAAATGAGCAAAATATCCCATGCAGATCTATTGCAGGTAGATGAAACCAAAAAAAAAAAAGAATTGCTTGTTATGTTGCATATTCACCTGTTTGAAATTGCTCCAGACATTACAGTCAGGGCCACGTCCATCACGCACTACTCTGATGTCGATATCTGCACCCTGAACAAATTCAAGCGGTTGTCATTAGACAAAAGTTACTGCCCATAAGTTGCTCATATGATTTCAAAGAGAAAAGCATTGGGTGAAGAATAATTCAGATTAAAGCAAGAAAATACAAAACCATTGTCATTGCTCCAAAGTGAGCTGCAGAAACAAGAATGCTCCCCGTGCCAACAAAAGGGTCATATACAAGTTTCCCAGGTGCAGCCTGTGCTTGATTGGCCATTAAGAAAGCCATTTCCGCATCCATTGCTGTTGGGCCAAGATAAGTTCGGCTTTTCAATTGATACGTGGGTATAAGCTTCCTGTCTGCTCCACCAACCTCCCTACCAAAAAATATTCTCCTTCCCATAACTGGTGGAAGCCCATTATTAGTTGCACTGTCATCAGTTTCCATGAGCCAGAAATTGTGATCTGGACCCTTTAAATTAACTCGACCCTGCAAACAAGTTGATTAGTGTTACCATTAGCAAATATGATACCACAAGAAACCAATTTGACAAAATTTTTCAAAATAAGCTTTTCGAATTCTTCTTCTTTTCATTTCCAAAATATGACCTTTTCCCCTATTCTTACATGCTCAAATGAAATTGATACGCAATGCAAACTTCATAATCAACAAAATCATATTAAGAACCAAACCTTGAAAGGGATATATGAGAGTCCACGAATTCGTTCATTCTGTTCCTGAAGACTCATAACTTTTCCAAAACTATCAACAGTAATCTTAAACGTCCTTTCAGACGCCAAATATGGCAACTTCCTTTCATCTGGGTAGACTTTCACCGCCTCTTCAAGTTCCTCATAGCTACTCCCTTCTCCCCAAAGTTCATAAATTCCCTTCACAAGTATACCTACAATGTCCCCAAAAAAGGGTCTCAAGTTTCAATAACGAAAACTAATTTTAGCAGTGAAAGAAAAGAGAACAGTGGGAGTAGTACTTACTTCGGTTTGCGACGTTCCTGGCGACGTCTTCGGAAGGTAAATTAACGAAATGGAAAGGGGAGTCAGGGTGGTGGTGTTTGGGAAGCCGCCATTCCAAAACCCTGTTCTGGGTCCGGAAATCTGCGCTCTGTTTGTCTCCAAAAGCTCCGAATAGGTCAGCCAGAGATTCAACTTCCGGTTTCCTGTAATCCAAAAAGTCTGTGGTAAAATACACATAGGTACCACATCGATTATTTTTGGAAACAAGTTTTACTTTTGGAGAAGCTCAAGGATGAAGAAAGACAACTGGAGCGAGGCAGAAGGAGGCCAATATGATTAAAATTTAAAACCCAAAACCCTCTTTCAGTCCACTTTAATGTAATGGAACGGTGCCGTTTAGTCAACCCTAAGCTTTCCTAATTGGACACGTGAAAAAAAGGTAGACCAATCAAAAAGTAAACTTCACTTTTGAACACATTGACGACGCCAAAGGAAAATAATATAAAAAAATAACATATGAATGTGATGGTTAAAGTTTCACAAAATGAGTTTGATTAAAATTAAAAAATATATTTTATATTTGATATATTAATATATATTATTATATGATAATTTTTTTATTTTATATATATTAAATACAAAATAAATATAATACGGATACACAGAACTGTTAATTCTATCATAAAGTATTTACTTCGGCTTAAAACTTGAAAAGTCTGGTTAGAGTTGGTGTGGAACTCACTCAGCTAAGATGAGGAGACAATTTGGGTCAACTACATTCTCCCACCGTCGATACCAATCCTCTTCACAGCGAAAGCAGCAAACCTTCTAGGGGCCACAAGTCTTGTTATCTTTTTCTTGTTTTCTACTCCGGTTTTATTTACTCTGAACTGAACACAGCTCGCGTCAGTAATCTGTTTGATTGAATGGTTGCACTAATGACAAACACTGCTGTTGTAGAAATTCATAAGTCATTATACATTGATGGAACAAGACTTTTTATGCCGTTGTACTAGTCTCAGTCAAGAATTAGTGAATTACGTAGTCATTCAGTGGAGAATTGGCATGGTGTTGTCTGGATTCTTTTCATGTTGTCATTGTTCAAAATTTATTAAACAGGGTTTTGTCTACCGTTTGATGAGGAGCACTAATTTTTATTAGCTGAGTTTAATGAAGATTGATCCAAAAAGATATGATATTAGCTTCGCATTCATTAGAGTAGAGGATGTCCGAAACCACCTAATTGAAACCTCTTCAAGTTCTGAGCCTAACAAGAAGCAAATATCTACAATTCATGATATAATATTCATCCGCGGCTTACCACCTATTCTTGTAGAAATAAATCCCTCATTATCAAGAATTTTCCCTTTCTTAGATTCATTATATCGTGCATTCCTAACTGCTTTAAACTCGAGGCATCTCTAATATGAAACGCCAAGACCAACAGTAATTATCCTAGCAGGGGCTTTGGAAAAGGTATAGACAGACCTAGTAGTCATCGTCTAAACATGGTCAGAATGATCGAAAGGGTTTACTATATCATGAAAGACGATATCACTTGTAGGCAGTGCAATCACAGGCAAGCATAGAGTCAACCCAAAACACCAATTTTTCTGTATTGCTGCTTCCAGATGGCCAGGCCCCGTTTTGGGGCTTCCTAGTAATGACAATATCCAAAGTTTTCAGGAGTCTGGATAGAGATGCCGCTGCTCGCAAACTACTCTTATTCGGTTTGGATAAAACTCGAATGATCATTGTTGAACCGAATTCAAGCCATCCAACTTCTCGAATGAATCAGATTTAAACATCTTAATATCTGAATTCAAGTAGTTCACAAGTTTAATCGAACTTTCATATGTTAATATATATTTTTATTATTTTAATTATAAAATTATTATTTTACTTATATATATATATATATATATATACACCAATTCAAGTTCAAACTTGATTTCGAATACAAATAATCGAACTTATCAATCATTGATGCAGCTGGTGCCATACAAGCACCTCACATTGTCACAAGCAGCTGGTGCCATACTGGCCCAAGCCTACATTCTAAATTTGACAAGGTTATCACTTATCAATCAATGATGCAGAGAAAATCACCTACCAAACACCTCTTCTGACAGGAGCGCCATACTTGCATGAATCTGATGAGACTGCTTCTCTCAGTCCAGATTTTCTGCTGTCTCCAATATAAGAATAAACACCTCTCCCATTTTGTAAATAAGAAGATAGTTGTATTTTAGCAGTTACAGTGCTTCTTTTGGATAAATGGGCATCACTAGTATTTATCCAAAATAACTAAAGAAATAACCACCCCTCCCAAATTTCTTCCTAACATAAACTTGGATTCTCCTTTCCTAGAATCCTAGAAATATACAAAGATCAATCAGATACAAGGAAATAAAACTAAATGCAGTGTGAACCCCCAAAACTTATAATGGCTCTTGGGGACTCAAGATGAAATGTATCCATTAAGCTTGCAATTCCGAAGAGCAGTGGGAAACTTCCCACTGCACTTCCAAAGGAAGCCTGCCTAAGTCAGGGTAGATTTGAAACCTCCATCACTTCAAAGCTCCAGGTCTAAATCACCTATCAATATGATCATTTCACTAAGATACAGTGCAGAACGGTGGGAAAGGCCTACTAGTGTTGTAATCCAACCAATATTAGAATTTCTTTTATTGGCCGAAAAAAAAGAATAATATTAGAAGAGAAAGGGAGAGAGAATTAGCAGCCACAACTTTCCCGATGATCCTTTTTTGAAAATATTGAGCTACCACGACTTAACTTCTCTAAATTAACAGCACAAACATTCAGAAAAGTATAAATTGTTAGAAAATGGAAAGTATGCACCTCTAAACAACAACATTAATATCTCTAAATTATCAATGGAATTTCCTTAAAATGCTGGAAAGATCATTCTCCATACCAGCCATCCAAAACAAAACCAGTAAGAAGATAAAGTTGACATCACCAGCAATGAAGTTCAAGCAGTCCTTTCACAGAAATCTTTAGAACTCAATGATAATGAGACACTGAGAAGGTCACGTAACTCCTAATTTGAAGGAGATAACTGCTTCATCTTGCTTGTAAAACTACTCCAGCTTCATCTGCTAATGTTTTCTTCTTAGAAGCAACCTATGTGTTCAATCAGACGGTTCCATTACCAAAAAGACAGAAAGGGGTCCTTAATAATTAACAAATATTCAAAGAACAAAACCATTTTACAAATAGTTAGAATAAAGGCAACATTATCTTGTTTGCCAAAAGAAGAACACCAGCATTTAAAATAGTTAGCTGAGCGAAGTAAAAAGGAAATCCATCTCAACTTGATTGACTATGCTCAAGTCTTTTAAGTATAAGTTATAGATTGATAATTTTACCACGAGAACTTTTATTAGCATCATCACGTAACTCCGTACACATGTATGAAATAGGACTTAATGAACAGAGAGAGTGACCTTCCGTTCCCACAGTGACAATATTAATTTCAGAAGCCGTTAAAGCAATCAAATCTAGGGAACAACTAACAAGTACAAGTCAACATTAACCATGAAAATTAATAAGACTTGTAGTTATATACTTGTTCTAAACCAAAAGATGATGAGTTAAAGGGCAATCAGAATCCTTTCTTTTTTGAAAAAAAGAAAGTAGGATAAGGATACCACAATTAGTTGATCCAAATTGGATTTTAATAAGTTGATCTTACGCTCGCAATAATCTTTGCCTTCAGCCATTGATTTCTGGCAAAAATTGCAACATAAAACAATCAAAGACAAATTAGATGTGTTGGGCTAAAAACCTCCAATCTAATCACATCAGCGGAAGTAAAATCAAACAATAAATCAAACACATAAGAGACAACAATTTAACGTGGTTCGGTCCAACTGACCTACATCCACGGATGATAAACAAGATCCACTAGTTGTAGAGAATTACAAACATACATCAAATCATCAACCTCACTCAACAATCAATACTCATAAGACACTCTCAATCTCCTATAGTCCTATAGAGTATTCTCAACCCAAACAAATACAAACCCAAACCCTTGTGCACTCTTTCAACATAACCAAACACATACCCATATGCTCTCATACATCATACCTATGTGGACCCTCTCAATCTCCTCTAGTCCACTCACAAACAAACACACACCCATAAGACGTAGAGCCCCAATACTCCTATGGGTGTCTATCCTACAAAACCCTATAACTCTCTTACATCTTTTTCTCATACCTAACTCTGTAGAGACTTCACCTATTTATAACCATACAAACTTTTCCATTAAAAATCTCTCTCCTCTTAAAATTCTTTTTCTGTAAGTCAAACTTACCTATTAAGAATCCCTTTCCTTTTAGAATTCTTCTCTTACAAGTCAAACTTACCTATTAAGAATTCTCTTTCTCTTAGAATTCTTATTTTGCAAGTCTTCTTGTCCATCAAGCAATATATGACAAATCTTAAACAAATCTCTAATAAATTTCAAACAAATCTCTTATGGGATTTGAGTCAATATTTCCAACAATTTTCACCTTGACTCAAATTTCATCAATCATCTGTCTTTATGCTAGACATGCTTGGCTCCACCTGTAATGAAAGTCTCACAATCATCTTCTCTTTTCTTGTGTCTTCACGCTTCATACAAACCAATCTTCAATCTTCAAAACTTAAACTCGAACTCTTCTCTCGAATCGAGCTCTTCTGGACTTGCTTCTTCCCATGTCTCAAACCATGCACTTCCCAAACCTTTAGCTCTGATATCATTTGTTAGGGAACACCACAGCTCTGATATCATTTGTTAGGGAACATCACAGCTCTGATACCATTTGTTGGGCTAAAAGCCTCCGATCTAATCACATCAGCGGAAGTAAAATCAAATAATAAATCAAACACACAAGAGACAATAATTTAACGTGGTTCGATCCAACTGACCTACATCCACGGATGATAAACAAGATCCACTAGTTATAGAGAATTACAAACATACATTAAATCATCAACTTCACTCAACAATCAATACTCATAAGATACTCTCAATCTCCTCTAGTCCTATAGAGTATTCTTAACCTAAACAAACACAAACTCAAACCCTTGTGCACTCTTTCAACATAACCAAACACATACCCATATGCTCCCATACATCATACCTATATGGACCCTCTCAATCTCTCCTAGTCCACTCACAAACAAACACACACCCATAAGACGTAGAGCCCCAATACTCCTATGGGTGTCTATCCCACAAAACCTTATAACTCTCTTACATCCTTTTCTCATACCTAACTCTGTAGAGACTTCACCTATTTATAACCATACAAACTTACCCATTAAGAATTACTCTCCTCTTAGAATTATTTTTCTGTAAGTCAAACTTACTTATTAAGAATCCCTTTTCTTTTAGAATTCTTCTCTTACAAGTCAAACTTACTTATTAAGAATCTTGTTTCTCTTAGAATTTTTATTTTGTAAGTCTTTTTATCCATCAAGCAATATCTGACAAATCTCAAACAAATCTCTAATAAATCTCAAACAAATCTCTTATGAGATTTGAGTCAATATTTCTAACAATCTCTACCTTGACTCAAATTCCATCAATTATCTGTCTTCATGCTAGACATGTTTGGCTCCACCTATAATGAAAGTCTCATAATCATCTTCTCTTTTCTTGTGTCTTCATGCTTCATACAAACTAATCCTCAATATTCAAAACTTAAACTCGAACTCTTTTCTCGAATCGAGCTCTTCTAGACTTGCTTCTTCTCATGTCTCAAACTATGCACTTCTCAAACCTTTAGCTCTGATACCACTTGTTGGGGAACACCACAGCTCTGATATCATTTGTTGGAGAACACCACAGCTCTGATATCATTTGTTGGGCTAAAAGCCTCCAATCTAATCACATCAGCGGAAGTAAAATCAAACAATAAATCAAACACACAAGAGACAACAATTTAATGTGATTCGGTTCAACTGACCTACATCTACGGATGATAAACAAGATCCACTAGTTGTAGAGAATTACAAACATACATCAAATCATCAACCTCACTCAACAATCATTACTCATAAGACACTCTCAATCTCCTTTAATCCTATAGAGTATTTTCAACCCAAACAAACACAAACTCAAACCTTTGTGCACTCTTTCAACATAACCAAACACATACTCATATGCTCCCATACATCATACCTATGTGAACCCTCTCAATCTCCTCTAGTCCACTCATAAACAAACACACACCCATAAGACGTAGAGCCCCAATACTCCTATGGGTGTCTATCCTACAAAATCCTACAACTCTCTTACATCTTTTTCTCATATCTAACTTTGTAGAGACTTTACCTATTTATAACCATACAAACTTTCCCATTAAGAATCTCTCTCTTCTTAAAATTCTTTTCCTGTAAGTCAAACTTACCTATTAAAAATCTATTTCCTTTTAAAATTCTTCTCTTGCAAGTCAAACTTACCTATTAAGAATCTTCTTTCTCTTAGAATTCTTATTTTGTAAGTCTTCTTGTCCATCAAGCAATATCTGACAAATCTCAAACAAATCTCTAATAAATCTCAAACAAATCTCTTATGAGATTTGAGTCAATATTTTCAACAATCTTCACCTTGACTCAAATTCCATCAATCATCTGTCTTTATGCTAGACATCCTTGGCTCCACCTGTAATGAAAGTCTCACAATCATCTTCTCTTCTCTTGTGTCTTCACGCTTCATACAAACCAATCATCAATCTTCAAAACTTAAACTCGAACTCTTCTCTCGAATCGAGCTCTTCTGGACTTGCTTCTTCCCATGTCTCAAACCATGCACTTCCCAAACCTTTAGCTCTGATACCACTTGTTGGGGAACACCACAGCTCTGATATCATTTGTTGGGTAACACCATAGCTCTGATACCATTTGTTGGGCTAAAAGCCTTCAATCTAATCACATCAGCGAAAGCAAAATCAAACAATAAATCAAACCCACAAGAGTCAATAATTTAACATGGTTCGATCTAACTGACCTACATCCACGGATGAGAAACAAAATCCACTAGTTGTAGAGAATTACAAACATACATCAAATCATCAACCTCACTCAATAATCAATACTCATAAGACACTTTCAATCTCCTCTAGTCCTATAGAGTATTCTCAACCTAAACAAACATAAACCCAAACCCTTGTGCACTCTTTCAACATAACCAAACACATACCCATATGCTCCCATACATCATATCTATGTGAAACCTCTCAATCTCCTCTAATCCACTCACAAACAAACACACACCTATAAGATGTAAAGCCCCAATACTCCTATGGGATGTCTATCCACAAAATCCTACAACTCTCTTACATCTTTTTCTCATACTTAATCCTGTAGAGACTTCACCTATTTATAACCATACAAACTTGCCCATTAAGAATCCTTCTCCTCTTAGAATTCTTTTTCTGTAAGTCAAACTTACCTATTAAGAATCTCTTTTCTTTTAGAATTTTTCTCTTGTAAGTCAAACTTATCTATTAAAAATTTTCTTTCTCTTAGAATTCTTATTTTACAAGTCTTCTTGTCCATCAAGTAATATCTGACAAATCTCAAACAAATCTCTAATAAATCTCAAACAAATTTCTTAGGAGATTTGAGTCAATAATTTTAACAAGATGAAAATACAGTACAAGCGTTGAACAAAGCAGTAAAATCAAGTAGAATTTGGTCAAATCAAGAAAAAAAAAATAGAGACCTCGACAAAGTATCCGGTGCCAATATCAACGAGAACCTTGTCGGCATCGTCGAGGGTGCCGGGAACATAGAGCGAAGCAGTGAGAGGAACCAACATTTTCTTCCCTATTTTTTGAGAAAACCCAAAAATATCAAAAGACGTATTATAATAGTATATTTTATAATTAAAAGAAGAAGAAGAAGAAGAAGAAGAAGAAGAAGGAGAAGGTGACTGATAGTAGAATGGATGAACCTTGGGGGCGGAGCGAAAGGTCGTGAAGAGCGGTAGAGGCGAACTCCAGGCGAGCAGAAGCAGTGCGGATGTTGTTAAGGCTGTCTTGTAAGAGATTGACCTCAATATCGGCTTGTTCTTTCAGTGCTTTGAGCTGCTCCATGCTCATCTTCTCCATGTCCCCCGCTCTTATCACTTGTTGTCCTCTTGACGACGCCATTTTTTTTGCTTTTCGCTCTGCCGTTCGAGCCTCTCTCTTTCTCTATAGTAAAATCTTGTTTCCTCTCCGAATAAAAAAATAAAATTTTATCTTCTCTCCCTTTTTAAAGTTCGATTAGCAGCAAGGCTTTATATCTCAGCGGTAGGACGTCTGTAGTTCGATCTTGCATAGGGAGCATTTCAATTTTTTTCTTTCTCCCCTAAATTATTGAAATATTGCTACTATTTATTGCCGGCAGCGGATCATAATTGAGATAAATTATTATTCATATATAAAAAATTTAAATTCGATCTGATTTAATAATTTTTTTATTTATTATATTTAAATTTGATCTGATTTAATATTATATAAAATTATATTTAATTCAATTCAAAATTAATAAAATATTATTTTTAAATATAAAATTAAATAATTAATTAAAAAATAATTTTTATATATTAAATAAGATCAAATTTACTTAAAACTTGATCATAACGTAATATTTAATTTTTTTAAAATATTAATCTTAAAAAATGGGATCGAAATAAAACTCATCGATTTTGGTTTAGATGGCTGCCATGCTGCTATTATGTGTGAAAAGTTCAATGTCCAATTGGAAACAGAAAAAAAGGCCTCGCAATCCGGAAAGAGTAATTGTTCTTATCCACCATCAAAAAAAAGTAACATCAGCATATCATTCAACAATTTTGTTAGCACCAATTTACAAATTTTGATTTAAATTTTAAAGGTTTGTGTTATTTATAATTTACAGTTGATTCGAAATTCCGGTAGGAAGGCTCCCACCCATCGGCGTGCGTTTTATTAGTGCCGGCGAGAACTTACCCACACGAACCCTTACTACAATTGGGATAATAAAGTAAAGAAAATAGATTTCGTTAAGGCCATTCAATCAGCCTTAGCACAGCCTCTCCTTTTAACTGTTTTATGGGCCCTAAACTAAAAAGGAACACTAAAGAGTAACCTCCTCCTACTCTACTACTAAATATTAAATATATATTATTATACGTGTAAAATGCTCCCTTAAAGGGAGCACAAAAACATCTATAAATTTGGAATAATCACCCAAATCTGAAATTTGAGGACCCATGATATTTGCATTGCTTTTGCATGCATGTGCTCCACTTCAATTTGCTAAAAGAGCCCACCACGATGTAAAGTTGTCCCAAGCCCATGAATGAATTGCAATGGAGGGGCCTAATTTCTGTTGCAGGGAAATTTACCTGTCTAAATTCTAAATGCAATTAAGATTGGATGGTCCAAACATCATAAGACCATCCCAACTTTTTCAACAAGGCATTTAATCTATTGTGGGAACCCCATCAATTATTGGGTCCCTTTATTTTTTTCTTTTACAAAGAAAACCATAATTACGAGAACAGAGAAGAACCGGATACTGAAATTAATGATTTCTTACTCGCTATCTCTCACTAATTGGTTTGCTCATTACTGCCTTCACTGATTGTTTTTTCTTCTTTCTGCCAAGACTTGAAAAACTCTTCCGTTCAACAATTATACTATCATCTGGACTGCCATATCCATCAACATGTCCCATTTCTTTTCCTAGAAATTGCAAATTCCTTACCAATCTACCTTTGGGAACACAATTCAGTCACCATCTTCCTCCCTCCTTTCACAGGCAATTCATTTCAAATCATAAGATGACTAAGTTTCGAAAACTCTGCAATTGTTTCCATGAAAATGCTTGTTACAGCAGATCAATTGACATGCCAGTAAAAGTTCAAAGATCCACAGTAGTACATTTCCTACCTAAGCAGCACGTTGCGAAATGGTACAATTGCCCAGACATTTACTCTCAAGGGATTTCTTTCCCATCACCACAGATTTTTGTATTAACTGCAGTTCTTTTTCCGGTTGAGGGACGACAAGATGACTGCTGCATGCGTTTGTTACCTCCCCTCCAAGTACCAAGAGAAAGAGGAGTTACGACATTATTCAAGCATACGCAATGCAAGTCCATAGTTCTGAGTAATACAGTTACGTTGCACAGAACAATAAATAGCATGATAAAGTCATTAAAATCCAAGTCACAGAAGAAATATCATGTACTAGTAGGAAGTGACAACTAAAATCCAGAATCATAGCTAGTTTTAAAGTTTATACTTTCGATCGGCGTAGCCAAAGAAACCAATTCTAGTTTCTAATGTTTCCAAAAGTAGTATTGATTACATGGATGAAGTTCAATGCTCTGTATATGTTACACAGTGATCAAACTTCCAGTAATAAGTTTTGTTGGTTACACCCAGCAAGAAGAGTACAAGTTGTCATGCCAATTATTATACCTCTGAACCAAACTATTAAATAAGTAGATAGGACCACTTATTCTTATTAAAGATGTCCAAAGATGACATTCACCATTGAAGAGACACGAGCGGGTGAGCCAATTATGAAAGAATACATAAATCAAACACAACCCAGATATTGAATTGCTTGGTAGCAGAACTAAATGCATTCTTACGTAGAGCAGAACAGAAGGTAATGATAGCACGCACATAAAGGAAAGAATGAGCAAGGGAAAGTAAAATTGAGAAAAACAGAAGGGTCTTTTATTCACACAACAGGCACCCAAAAACAATCCACTTACATACATGAAAACACATTATTTGCACGCTGATAAATCTAAGAAATGGATAAGAATACAGCTAAAATTTTCCAAAACAGAGGTCTTACAGAAAGGAACCAGAGCCTTTATCTTTCACACGGCAGTCTCCTTTGAGATCATGTGATCAACATAGACACTGAAAGCAGAAGAGAAAGGGCCAGATCAACCCACGTCCATGGCATATCATGAGCTTGCACTTAAGAACCATAATCAATGCTAGGCTACGCCACATGGCAGCAATGAAACTAATAATTCTCAAACATCATTAGCAATAAAGGGAATTCCAGCATATTTAGGGAGACCATATTTCGACAACATCAAGCCAAGCACGGTGTCATACAGAGCAAATCTCTGGTTTTCAGCATCCCGGTCATCCAATTTTTTGTTAACAAACTCAAATCCCAATAATGTGTAAATCAAGCACAATCCACAACTAAGATTCAACTCGCTTTGCACGTTCATCATTGCTATATCATCATGAATTATGGAAGAACTTGCCAACGCGGAAAAGCAATGAATTCTTCAAATACAGGTTTACAACCTCTTTCAACATGGGAAATAAACCTCCACGGTTTCTTCAAATCAGAAAGAAATCAGCAAGTCCTCGCACAAAAGCAAAGAGAAATAATAGCACCCTATTTTCTCAAAAAAAAAAAAATTATTACCAAACTTGACAAATCACAAAAGAAATCCCCAATTCTGGAAATCCCCAGATTCAGCAAGCGGCCGGTCGCAAAATCTCAGTCACCCACGCCCTAATTCTTGACTTCCCTCTCCTTCTCCAACAGAAACCCTCAAAATCCTAAACAATTGTGAACGCTCTAAAACCCTAATTAATCACATCAAATAAAAGTGCTAAGAAAAAACCCTAATTTGAATCCATTCATCATCCAAATTACCCCCCTCGAAACCCTAATCCCCTAACCCTAAAATTCCAACTAAAGATCCTCTTCCACATCCACACACATGAAAACAACAACCATACACATATTTATAGAATCTATATATATTCATATAAATTTATATACTCCCAACAACAATAAGGGTAAAATGGTCCACCACAATTCAACGAGGATCCTCGCCTCTCCGACCCGAACTTCCCGGAGGACCCGACAACGAGGCTAACAAATTTAAATGACTAGGAAGATAATTGCCAACCCTCGCCGCCGACGCTTCTCCCATCGCTTGCTGTTGCTGGACGAACAACGCAGCGGCTGGTTGCTGAGCCGCCGCAGCAGCAACAGCAGCCGTTTGTACCACCATCTCCGGTGAGGCGGGGCGCGAAGCTCCATAATTGACCAAAGTCGGACCTCGCCGGAACAGCCCAGAACCCACCTGTGTGTGTCCCAGCGGGTCCCACAATGGACCCAGCCTGGGCCAACTGTGACCCCTCCGGAATCGTCCTTTCCGGCGTTATCATCGTCGGACCTGACACGTTTCCCGAGTATAAAAGGGGTGGGGCCTTGTAGAGGCTTTTGATCCAAAGACGAAGAAGTCGTGGACGGTAAAGAAGTAGAATTAGCTCCGCCGCGGACGGAAGCCGACACGTTGGAGAAGCTGGCGGGAGTTGTTCCAGTACCAGTGGCGGCTACGATGGAAGGTTCAGCTTGGCGTAACAGCCACTCAATAGTCTGACCATCGGACTTGTGACCCAACTCACGAGTCAACTGGAAAACACGAGCGGCACAAATGATTGGCATCCTGATTCTTCTTCCACGACCATCGACTTTGCTGTGACGGTCTTTGGAAGGAGGTTTTTTGACGACGAGGGAACCGTTGCCCGGCGCTTGTTGTCTCTGAGGGTCCATTATAGCTCCGTTTGTAGCACCACCCTCTGAATTTGACATGGGAAGGACCGCTACACTCTTACTCCAAATTCCCCTTTACCTTTTTTTTTTTTCTTTAAGTTTTTGCTTCAAACTAAAAAGATTGCCACTGCTGTTTCGGGTTATCGGAGATTAAAAGGCACCACCAAAAGTTTTGAAAGAAGCAGAATTTGGAATTAAAATTTTTACACGGAAGAGGAGAGAGAGGGAGAAGAGTGCTAATCATTGAGCGGCAGGAGCTGGTGGAGACAGGAAGGAGGGCACATGGTTGGTGGGTCCCACAGTACCATCCCCCACAGCTCACGCCCTCCTCCTCTCTCTCCTCTTTTCTTTCCCACTTTCTCTGTTTCATTCCCACGCGCCTCCTTTCTTTTTTTTTTTTTAACCAAGGGAGGATGTGGGGCCCACTCTCTTTTCGTACTTTTGAATTGAAGGTTCCAATCTACGTGCCGCAAGTTCATTATCCATTTATTTTTAGCCACGTCACTGTTTAACAGTGATTATAATCTTCGCCCTTCGATTAAATGGGATCTGTTTGGTCATTGACTTCTACCAACAAAGGGTTCTTTTTTTTCTTGTTTGATTCTAACACAAGGTTTTAACATCACAATCTTTTTGTAATTTTACGTAAACTTCAGTAGTTGAATTTGAACATTTTTACGTAAACCAATGTTTGTGTTATCTC